GAGTTCCCCAGGATTCCCAGCTGCTGGGCTAAGTGTCCCAGGACACTTCCGTCCAGCTGTGGGGTCCCTGTCCCTTTAAGACTTTCAAAAAGCACTTGCTTTTCTTTGTCCCAGGGGTGCTGACTGCGGGGACCTGCTCACAGGTCTTACTGTCCTGTTTCCCTAGTATCCAGCACCCCATGCCTGGGTGTGAATGGCTAGGGCTGGCTATTTAGCAGTCCTGGGCTCCCTCTCCCTCCTGGCTCCGACTCCTCTCCTCCCACCGGCAGTTGGGGTGAGGGGTGCTTGGCTCCCACCAGGCTGGGGCTTGTATCTTACCCCGTTTGCGAAGCGCTGGGTTCTCGCAGGTGTGGATGTGGTCTGGCTGTTGTCCTGTATCATCTGGTCTCTCTTTTAGGGATAGTTGTATTTGTTGTATTTTCAGAAATATGTATGTTTTTGGGAGGAGATTCCCACTGTCCTACTCACACCACCATCTTGGCTCCGCCTCTCCCTGGCTTTATTCTCATGGTGCACATCAAGCACTAGGATCATGTCTGCATCCAACAGTCTGCAGGTCCATAATCCACCTCCGTCTCTGCCTCTGTTCAGAGCACTGCGCCTCTCCTTCTTTATTTTCATACCTGGCCTCCCCCAGCCCCACCACCCTCCTGAAGACTCCTGCCTCCTCCCTGGGCAGACATCATCACCTGTGTGCATTTCTTTCTCCCTGAGTTGGTTCCCTCCTCCATGCTTTATCTGGGGGAGGAGGGAAGCTCTCTCTTGCTTGCAGCACCCTCCACCCACATTGAGCCACCCTGCCTTTCTCAGAGCACATTTACAAGGAGATTGTGAACTTCAGACCCATTGCCCGGAAGGACTCACGGCGCCGGAGTGGCATGAAGCTGCAGTGATGCATCCAGCCTGACCTTTGACTGAGCCTGGGGACTGCCACAGGCACCAACTGCCAGACACTGCCCACAGAACCGATGTTTATTTGTCACTTCTAAAATTTCAACCCTTCTTGGATTATAGCCTTCCAAGCAGAGGACAGAGCGCCCTTGTCCTTGTATAGAAAACAGGCCTATTGGATGCAGAATTCAAAGAAGTTGGCTGGGAGAAATTACTCTGCTCATAACCCACTACATTAAAATCCCATTGGGAGAATCACCTGTGTTTGGGGTCCTTTCCTTCTCGGCTGCAGTGGGGCTGAGCCGGGGCAGGTGTCTATAGCAATGATGGCATATCAGCCTGCTGGGGCTGCTGTAACAAACTACCACAAACTGGATGGCTTAAAACAACAGAAATTCATTCTCTCACAGTTCTGAAGGTGAGGAGTCTGAAATCAAGGTGTTGGTGGGGCCATGTTCCCCTTGCTTCCTTTTAGCTTCTGGTGGCTCCTGGAATCGTTGATGTTCCTTGGCTTGTAACTGTATCTCTCTAATCTCTGCCTGTTTTCACATGGCCTTATCCCCTGTATCTCTGTCCGTCTTCTGTTTATACAACTCCAGTCATTGAATTTAGAGCCCATCCTAATCCAATATGATCTCATTTCAATCCTTATTACATCTGCAAAGACCCTATTTCCAAATAAGGTCACATTCTGAGGTTCTGGGTGGACATGAACTTCAGGGAAACACTATTCAACTCACTACAACATGGCTGCAAGGGGGGGAGGTCCCCTCCTGGACCCTGTGCTCTTGCAGAATCAAATGTATTTGGCTGGTAAATTAAGGGAGTTGCAGAAAGAGCTGCAGCTGGTGAGATACTGCATGCAAGTTATTTTGGGTGAGTGATAAGCAATCAAGACAGGGAACAATAGTCTTGTTGACAGGGAGCTACAGAGGCAGAAATGGGCTTTTTCTAGGCTTTCTGGAAAACTCCTTCTTCCCCCTTTGGGAATGGTACATCTTTAATGCAACAATGACTAGGAGCCTTTTATTTAGGCTTGAAAAGCTTTAGTAGAACAAATTCCCATGCACAAGGAGTCAGGATCCTGGCTCCAGAGTTCCTGCCCTGGGCACAGTGGGTCTCAAACTTCCCTATGCACAAGGGGCCTGGTTAAAATGCAGGCTCCAATGTTTGAATGAGGACCACTCAACTTCCCCAAGCCCAGTGATTCTGATGGATATCAAACCATATTCAGCAAAACGTTTAGTTGATTTCAGTACCACTTAATTTGTCAAGAGGCCTAAAGTAGAAATCTACAATGTTTGACAAGAGGGCTTCACACTCTCATGTTACAGATGTTAAAACTGAGGCTCACACAGGGCATCTTCAGGGTGGTGAAACTACTTAGTATGATATAACAGTATGCATTTGTCAAACCATCTGAATTGTACAACACAGTGAACCATCAAGTGAACTATGGACTTTACTTAATAATGTGCCAATGCTGGTTCACCAATTGTAACAATTGTATTTAATGCAAGATTTAATAATAGGAGAATGGTGGGGTGAGGGTTGGGGAGGAAGTATATGGAATCTTCTATGCTTTTGGCACAATTTTTCTATAATCCTAAAGCTGACCTAAAAAATCATGTCTTAAAAAAACATTGAGGCCTCTTTCCCCAAGAAAGATTGGGGCAGATACCCCATCTGAGTATACCCAGATACACAGCTAGCAAGTGTAGTCAGGATTTGAACCAGAGCAGCCTGGACCACTGTGCAGAAGTCTTAATCCAAACTTGAATTCAAGTGTTGCCTAGACTTCCCTCCCTTCTAGCCTGTCTTGGGGCTCCTTCACTGATGCCTGTGTCCATGGGTTCTGTTTTCTCTTCCCCTAGAGCAGCCCTGCTGCCAAGGAGGGAGCAGTAGATGAAGGGAGGGTTGGCCATGTGACTTGCCATAGCCTTAACCTTGCTGGTTAAACTATCCCAGGTCCCCTGAGTCTAAATCCCTCAGTTAATTGCCTTCTGACATTCACTGGCATCAAGGAAAAAGCTCAGCCTTAGCCTGGCATTCAAAGCCCTTTGCATCCTCTCTAACCTCATCATCAACTCCCACTGCCTCCCCATTCCTTCCCCCAGCATGGCCTGCTGTGGCATGCCAGCCCTGGGATGCACCAGGAGGCTCACTCTGCATGTTAACAGGTTAAAGGCTCTAACAGGTCCTACAGGAAAGACGTCTGTTCAACATTGTTTAATCCAGAATTTGTTGAATGTACTTAACCACAGGTCCCCATTTTTTCCTGATAGCCATTGCACAGAGCCCTCTGCCCAGTGCAGGCCTGGAGCTTGGGCTTCTTTAAGACCCGTGCTTAGGAGGCCCTCCTTCCATCTCCTCACTTAGGAAAATCCTCCTTCTCCTTCCAGACTTTGCCTGAGGCCTCTGTCAGGGAAGTCACTCTCCATTATCGTCCCTTAGAGAATGGGTAGCTCCCTCTCTCTGTCCTGGGTGCCCAGGGACAGCATTTATAGTGTGCGTGGTCCTGCCTCCCCTACCATGGCATATTTGAGCCCCGGCTTAGAACGAATGCCTGCAAATGAATGAATGAGTGAATTGCATGAATGATGTTCCCAGGGTCCTGGTTATTCTCTGTCCTGACCAGACCAGTACAGTATCAGGGCAGCAGAGAACACAGCAGGAAGCAGAGGTGGGAGGCCCTGACCTCCACCAGAGTTGCTCCCCTGAACATTTTGAGGCTCTCAGGACTCTCAGGCCTTTCCACATCATGCTTCAGTGTCCCTCCCCTACCCCCGGAATTACACTTCTGTGTGTCACTTCAGCCCCTTCCTTATCCTTCTCTCAAACCTGGGACATTTCTCCAAAGGGAGGTGAGGGTGCTAAGCAGTGGAAAGGGTTCATGGATTCCAACCTTACCCTATGAGCACATGGCCAGAGTGACAGGGAACAAGTCCATTCTTAGGCTGGGTGGGGCAGAAGGGCTGAGTTTGGGGGATCTGGGCTCAGCTACTCTCACAGTGGGCTGCAGGACCTCAGAGAGTCTGGTACCCCTCACCCTAGGTCATCAAGGTTGGGCTTTGCCCTGTGGCTGGTGGGGTAGCCAGAACAGACTTCACAGAGAGAAGGAAGCCAGACTCAGGGATGGGGGTCAGTTCACTAACAGCAATCGTGCTCTCGATTCCCTCCTTTGTGAAATGCAGGTGTCCCTGCACAGTGGCACATAGCTCCTCTCCCAAGGCTACTGGGGCCTACAGCGAGGCCAAGGCCAGCCAGGGCTTGCCTGGAATGTAGTGTGGGTGGCGCTGCTCCCAGGGAGGGGCAGGGACAGGGAGGCAGAGATGGAGGAGCTGTCCTCGCAGGGAGAGCCCAGTGTGCATGGATGCCCTGGTACCTGTGAGGCTGGATGTGTGTTAGGAAGGGGGCATGGCTCAACTTTCCTGGGCAATTGAAATACCTTTGGTTCTCCACACAGGTGTGGGAAACTTGCTTCTCACATCCCTGAGCAGCTCTACAACCACACTAAATAATGGAGAGTGACTTCCCTGACAGAGACCTCAGGCAAAGTCTGGAAGGAGGAGGATTTTCCTAAGTGAGGAGATGGATGGAGGGCCTTCTAGGCAGACAGTCTTAAAGAAGCCCAAACAGTTCCCTAAGGACCAGCGCTGGGGTGCTCTCCCTTACTTTATTCCACAGTGATCTCGGACCCTATCCTCATTCTCCCTAAACCTAGGATTTAAGGTAAGAGGCTGGTGATTTTCGATTTTCTCCTTTTTCACAATAGGCAGTAGAGTTCCAGTGCCACTCAGCTAAACTGATCTCAGTGGTCTGTCACCTTCAACATGTCACCTCACCCCACTGTCCCGAGATTTTCTTGACTGGGGCACTGCCAGCTGGAATTCTGATCTGGTTGTACCTGTGGGACACCTGCTCAGCCGAACAGCTACTTTCACTCTTGGCTGGGGACTCTTGACCTTTTTTGTGCAGTGGATCCCTTCTCAAAATAATATTTTTATATGCATAAAATAAATTACACAGGATTACAAAAGAAGCTAGTTATGTTGAAATACAATTGTGAAAATATTTAAATGTGTGACATAACACATGGGTTTCTTTAACAACACATTAAATAACGATTTAAGGGTGAACCTACTCAACTAAATTTGAAATAGAAATGAGCATAAATGATGTTGAGGTAGTAACCTGCAACTGGAAAGGGAAATCAAAGCTCTGTGCTTTCTATTGGCACTGCTACTACAACTGAGGTTTGCTGTCTTTATTCATAACTGAGGAAATGGGAGTGGAAGTAAAATTGTAGTATTTTCCAATCCAGGTTCATGAACCTCTGAATTATATTGCACAGTCCATGGTTCATTCATCCTA